ACAAGCTTTATTTTCAGATTGAATCTGGGGAAAATCCAGGCATCATTTTCAAGACCCATCCCAACGTGAACAAAGAATTATTTGCAAATGAAAATATTCTAGGCTTAAAGGACCCTAACAGGTCTTTTCCTACTGGTCAATCCGGTGATGCAGCAGGAGTTGGCCTTTTGAAATGGAGAATGCAAAGCGTTGATGAGTCAATGGTTCCGATAACTAGTGAGTTGTGAAGCATAAAATGCTGCTATTCTCCATAAGTTTCTGTTATTTGTTCTTGTCATCTAAAACTTGGTCCATTGCAGTCAACTGCTGGCCCTCTGTTTCTGGAAATGAGACGTATGTAAGCATCGAATATGAAGCTTCATCAGCATTTGATTTACGAAATGTTGTGATTTCAGTACCTCTTCCAGCTCTTCGAGAGGCACCAAATGTCAGACAAATCGATGGGGAATGGAGGTCAGAAACTTGGATATTATCAGGGTTTGAGAGTAAATATTTGAATGACTTGGGATATAGTTGCAACTAGAAACTGTTTTTATTCAATATATGTTTCAGCATACAAGTTCAAAAGCTTTGGCTTTTTAGAAAATTAAAATTCAAAAGATACTGCAGCATACACATCTGAAAGTTGCTTGTAGATAGTCCTTTTTTCTTCTACTCCTTTGAGGTTTGGATGTACATGATGATGGTTACTATAAATTTCTAACGTCCAGGGGAAAATAGAATATCGACCAATGGCATAGTTCCTAGTTATATAACTGATTTATTGAAACAGAGTTGATTATTGCTTTACTTGATGAGTTTAAGTTGTAGTCTAAAGAGGAGCAATCTTAGTTGATTCTGGGCAGCTACTAGAATAGCTGACTGTATAGTAGAACTACTGGCTTGGACATTTTAAGGGTTCCAATGGTTAGGCCTTTCCTTTGCAACTCAGAAATTAGGAAATAAATGGAGCTTAAATTTTGTGATAGGGACATGTATGACTTATCATGGTATATTGTTTCTGGCATTCTGTAATCATTGGTTTTTTTTCCCTCTTTTTTATTGTGTTTTTTGCATGCTTAGCATTTTAATATCTGCTGTATTTTTGACTTGTAGGTATGACTCCAGAAATTCTATTCTAGAGTGGGCCGTACTTCTCATTGATAATTCTAACCGCAGGTCAGCCCAATACTGTGTTTCATCACCTTTGGTGTTATTGTGCAACTTATTTATCCTGTACTAGTGTGGTTTTCTTACCGAACATTGGTTCTGGGACAGTGGGTCAATGGAATTTGTTGTGCCACCAGCAGATTCCTCAACATTCTTTCCCATTTCTGTGCGGTTTTCAGCCACTAGTACCTACAGTAATCTGAAGGTATATTAAGCTTTGTAGCACTTTCTTCCATTAAGATGATTTGTTGTTAATACTATTTATATTGTAGAACAAACTTATAAAATGGTACTGATGAATATTCTAACCCTTCAATTTCTTTTGGATTTTTCCTTTGGTGCTGATTTATTCGGTTGTGCCACTTATTTAATCCAGCATATTGAATATGATAACAGACATTAAGTACTGAGTCTTGTTTCCCTTCTAATTTTATCATGCAAAAGATCTTAAATCCATTTGCATTAAAAAAGTGAAAATAATATTTAGAACATGATATTTTAAAACATGGTATGAGTTTAAGAAAATAGGAGGCTGCTTTTAATATTCTGATAGACTTTTTTAGTACTTTAATACAATACAACCATATTGCTACTCATGTTTTTAACATGCACAAACACAGACATTTTGAGAACTAAAACTAAACATGTTTTCATAC